TTCCAAGATTAGGCACCTCAGGGTATATGGAAGCTACATTTTACCACCCCAGTGCGCTAGCAGGAGTCCCCCTGGGACAGTGAAATGAATAGAAGTGCACCAGCAGTATCTAGTATTCAAAGTACCTGAACTTTTTATTTCATTCTATCAATATATAATTTTAAAACAACACCATATGTTATAATCTTATACTTATTTTCTCAGAAGTCCCACTTCCTTCAGTCTTAACTGTAAGGTAAAAGTGTATTGGAATGCAGCCTTAATGCCTCTTAATGGGACAGTAGTCAATGAGTCCACCAGATCACACATGCCTTCAAATTATTGCTCACATTAAAGAGGTCATCAAGAGGACTACCATGCTTTGCCTGCAAACTGAATAACACCGTTGACTCTACCCACCTGTTTTTATTTTAACTGTAGCCGATTTCAAACTAGGAAACTTAAATATAGCAGTACAAAAAACATTATTTTGGTGACTCACCCACAGCTTTCTCCTTCTGAGCAAGAATACAGCCTCACATAGATGTGCTTCCAGGGGGATTCATAAAACAGGTTTGCTGGAGTACATATTTCTACATACGGAAACCTGTGAATAATGGGTTCATCAGGGCAGGTTCAAGGAAGGGAAAACTTGTTCTAATTTTTTATTGTGCTGTTATCTTTTCAGCCACTTTGAGCATTCTTAAGATAAGAAGTGTAAATATTAGCTCACTAAATGGTTATAAATAGTATGGCTTCTGCTATCCAACATTTGGACTAAATTTATTTAGGTTAAACCTTGATTTTATTTATTAGATTTCTATCCTTTCCCCCACCCTCTTTCTTAAGAACTCAAAGCAGCTTACATCGTTCTCCATCAGCTCTCAATCTGCACTTCACAGTGAGGTGGGTTGGGCTGAGAGTCTGTGACTGGTTCTGAGTCACCCAGTTGGCTCCATGGTTGAGCAGAGACTAGGACCCAGATCACCTGAGTCCTAGCCCCACTCTCCTAACCACTAAACCACCGTGTAGCACGTAAGCCCTGTTAATATGTAGAGGTGGGATAGCATCTGCCTCCAGTTCTACTCATGTTAGATATAACATGTAAGTGATACCCATGCATACATAGGCATAATAATAAATCCTCTTTACACCATGCCTGTCAGCTTTATCAGTTAAGATTTGTATATTACGTCTTTATATTCTGGACTTTATCTTTTGTCAGGTATACTTGATATTTGATTGGTTTATCTTCCATGTGACATGGCGATGCTTTTTGCCTTCCCGATAATCAAGTAGTACTTAGGCACGTAGGCTTAAGCCTGGATGACCTAATGTATTTAATATCATGGCGGTTTGATACTTTCCCAGTCACTTGCACAATTGATCACAAATGGTGGTATATGTGTACCTTTCTTCCCCCACACCCCAATAATGTCCCCATCTAGGAAGACGTGACTAATTAAAAGGCAGAGTAGCACACAAGGCAGGAGGTGGACAGCTCTTCCCTCAATTCGGCTGTGACCGTGTATGTTCCCATTTGAGCAAAATAAATAATTTATTCTTACTAGTGCAATTTTATGCAAGTCCATGACTTGTTTATTTTGCTTGAAAATATAAGTTGCCTTTTAAGGAACAAAACCCCCACAAGGCATCTTAACCTGTGTAGCAGAAATGAAGAGCCCCTGGGCACAACCCATGGGGGTTTCCCCAGTGTCTGGGGCAGGCCTTGCTACCTCTCCTGGTGGGAGAAGCTCTTTTCTCTGATGAGCTAATCATGGACTAAGAGCTTGTTTCTGCCACGGGTAGGGAGAGGAAGCCCTACTTACATGCTGCTTATGCTTGATCTGCATAGACATGAGGAACTTGGTACTTCGGAAGCTATTTGAAAGTAAGTCAGTCATTTTATTTTAGCCCCATCCACAGATGAAATTCAGGCCCCAAGACCTTTGCCAGAGTGGAATTTGGCCCTTGAGCTGCAAAAGATTCAAATACCTGTTAATTTTTTCATCTTAGTCACTACTTTGTGTTCCATTGTAAGGTTATGGCTTTGATACTAAGTTTGACAGTGTTACTGTATTTTATACTTTTAAAGTTTTGCCCCTTATACTGCCCAGAGAGCTAATGCCCAGAATAGAAATGTAATGAACAGAGTAATAATCATGTAAAACTAACGGGGCAGTAGAATGCTGTCCTGGGAGGGGACACAGCAGCTGGAACCCTGAACTGGAGCACTCCACATTGCTGTGCTTTGCTGCAAAGCTTGCTTACGCAATTAACTAGTGAAGAGATACCCAACTGAAATGACTTGAGGTTGAGGCAGATGCATGTGTGAAACAAATGCATAACGCTTCACCATTTGGATAGTTTACTTAATTTGCTTAACCAGTATTAATGCTCTGCTATTAGTATTTTGTTTGAAGATGCCCTTGTGTCTCCTGAGAAACTCAGGCTGAAACCTTTATCTTAGTTTTGGAGTCAGGAGGGCAGGCATCATCTCCACAGTTCATATGTTATGGTTTCAGAGCTCTTCCAGCTGCCTCCAGAGTACAGTTCAGTTGTGTGGATGATCCCCATTCTCCTTTCCCAGTCAGCCTTAAGGTTGAGAATCACAGAATCAGAAGAGTAGAGGTGGAAGCGGTCACGAAGGCCATTGGGTCCAACCCCCTGCTGTTGCAGGACACCATGTTACACCATCCCACTCAGATGGCTGTCCAGGTTCTTTTTGAAAGTCTCTAGTATGGGAGAGCCCACCACCTCTCTAGGCAGCTGGTTCCACCGTCGTATTGCTCTGACTGAGGAAGCTTTCCTGATATCTAGAAGGCGAAGGTGTATCCTGTTTGCATGTGGTGGGTGGCACGCTTGCTATGCTGAGTAGGGCTAGGACAGTTCTGAACTTCTTCCTTCTACCACTCTCTTCTTTTGAGCAATACTCTCTCATAATACTGTGTTGCGCTTCATTTCCAGCATCTCTGGCCTGGCCTTTAGCAGCTAGGTTTGCTTTTGCTGTCTCCCTGACACTCCATGAACTGGGAAAACTTTCATTGTCCGTCATCTGCTAGTGAAAGAAAGTGCTGGCAGAATGGATTTTACCCCTACCAGCCTCCCACTCATCCACCAAACTGGCCTTGAGGGGTTGGGGGATCCTCTGGAGCATATATGGTGGGGGGCACAGGGAAGGAAAGCAAGGGGTAGTCTTACGGTGCTTGTTGCACAATGTTGGCTTTAACTCAACAACTTTATAGTCATCAATTATCCTAATTAATCACAGTAGCAGAAAGAAACTGATACAGTTGTAGCAGGGAGGGGTGCATAATAATAACATAATATGGGTTTAGTTAATATAAAAGTTCATCTTGAAAATGCCATGTTGTGGTAGAGGAGACTGCATTTTCAGCTGCTGCCTTTATAGAGGCTAGCTGAAAATGTGCAATTTCAGACATTAGAAGCATTGGGACTTAGTTTTTAGTTTAAAACAAATGCAGATGCAAAAGGAAATCTATCAAAGAAAAAAACTAATTGGGTAGGGTAGTAGAACATTTGTATTATTATTATCTATCCATGCTGTGCAGCTCCTGAATTCACAACTTTCCAATGCACCATGAGAGTCAGCCACAAAAAACCTGGCAATCAGGCTACCTTGATATAAGCTGTAAAATGGCCATAAGGAGAAATGGGGAGAGCATCTATCAAGTAGTAGCTTAAGATTAGGGCAACCAGATAGTGTGGGGGGTTGAGAATAAAATCTGCTCTTTCACAATGTTACATCATTTTAATGGCAACTATTAAAATTGCTTACCTGGAAAACTAATATTAGAAAAGGGATATATATTTAGTAGTCTTTTGATGTTAAGCAGCAGCTGGGGGGGAAAGCAGGCAGCCAGCTCAAATGATCAGCCAACTCCTCAGATCACCAACTGCTTTGTGGGTCATCGTTCAGAATTGTTGCTTTAATGCACTTGCAGATGGGTAGGAATTCTTTCACAGAGTTTTACTAGCACTTAATTTTCAGAAATATCACATATTTCTCTTGGTACTGCCTTCTCCTCTTTGATCTTTCCCCTCAAAGTAGAATGTTGCAGAAAAACAGTGTATCTATTTTTTCTTTAAACAGAAACGGGGGGGGGGGGGTAATTAAATATGTCGCTATTGAACACCTAAAGCTAATAAAGCCATTGGTATTCTTTATTGAAGATTGGAAATTAAAGTGAATATGAAATTCTAGTATCATTGGGAGTTGTGTTCCATTATATAAAGAGTGCCTGTCATGGATTGCATGATAATGATGAATACTCACACTCATCTCTCCATTTTAAAACTTTAAAAATCTTTTATTGGAATTTGAATTGTGCACTCCCCTAGGGACCCTATTCATCATTTAAGGCAAGAAATCAAGTTTTTCCCAAACTTTTCATTAAATGTTCAGATACATTTTACACAGCTGTTGTCTAGCTGTATTTGGTTATTTTTTTTTCTTTTACACTGCTGTTCTTAACATTTAAATGGTATTTTATCATATTGCATTTGGTTTTAATAGGGCAGGCACTAGGTACCATAAAAATCTGAGACCCAGGCCCACAGGATAAAAATGCACACATTTGTATATGTACAATAGACTCTGTGTGTTTTTAAAGGACACTCCTATTTGTAAAGAAGAGCTGTATGGACAGGGGAAAGAAGGGCATTTGAACTTGGAACAGAACCTCAAGCAGAAAGATTCAGGAAAGGCACATACGGCCGAAAAGTCAGCTAGTCCGAGAGGACTGCAGCTGAGATCATCAAAGACCCAGTACTTTCATTTTAGCAAGTATTCATGGACAACAGGGTGTTGGGGCAGAGTTCGGGCTTCAGCACTAGTAGGCTAGTTCTTAACACTGTCTCTGGGTTTAATTCTTTTGAGCCACTCTAACATTTTTGGCTGTTAGTTGATATTGAAATGTAACAATGAATCACGATGATTTTATTCACTTATGTATTAAATAACCTTACTAAAGTGTTGTCCTTTTCTCTTTGAAATTTAGGTAAACTAGTCCATGGGTAAAGTTGGGAAGATGTGGAACAGCTTCAAATACAGATGCCAGAATCTTTTCAACACTGAAGGTGGAAACAGAAGTGAAAATATAGACGCAAGCTCTAATAGTTCATCTTTAAGAGATAAAAGTGTTTTTGTTTCTGAACCTGCTGAGCAACAACCAAGCAGCCCTTTAAGAGACGTTTCCTTACAACTGAGTCTAAATCCTTCAAAAAGCTCTGTGAGGAAAAATCAAAACTGTGCGACAGAAATCCCACAGATTGTGGAAATAAGCATTGAGAAAGAGGGTGACTTGGGTGTTGTTCCAGGAGCTAGACTTGCTCGAAGGGATTCCTACTCACGACATGCACCATGGGGAGGTAAAAAGAAACATTCCTGCTCCACAAAAACCCAGAGCTCGTTAGAGAGTGATAAAAGATTTGGCCGTTCTCGTTTGCAAAGGAGGGAGCGACGATATGGTGTAAGTTCTGTTCATGATACAGATAGTGTCTCAAGCAGAACTGTCGGGAGTCGTTCGCTGCGGCAAAGGTTACAGGACACTGTTGGCTTATGTTTTCCTATGAAAACATACTGCAAACAATCGAAACCTCTCTTTTCCAACAAGAGAAAGATCCATCTTTCTGAACTAATGTTAGAAAAATGTCCCTTTCCTCCTGGGTCGGATTTGGCCCAAAAATGGCATCTAATAAAGCAGCACACAGCTCCAATGAGCCCGCACTCAACTCTCTTTGATGCATTTGATCCTCTGGCTTCTACAGAAGATGAAGAGGATAGACTCAGAGAGAGACGGAGGCTTAGTATTGAGGAAGGGGTTGATCCTCCTCCCAATGCTCAGATACATACCTTTGAAGCTACTGCGCAGGTTAATCCTTTATATAAACTAGGACCGAAGTTGGCTCCTGGCATGTCAGAACTGACAGGAGACTGTAGTTTGACAGCACAGGGGAGCTGTGACCTGGAAGAAGACACAACTACACTCTGCTTACAGTCACGTAGACAAAAGCAACGCCAGATGTCTGGAGAGAGCCACAGCCACATCAGCAGACAAGGAGCTTGGAAAGTACACACCCAGATTGATTACATACACTGCCTTGTGCCAGACTTACTTCAGATTACTGGGAATCCATGTTACTGGGGAGTAATGGACCGTTATGAAGCTGAAGCACTTCTGGAAGGGAAACCTGAAGGCACTTTTTTGCTCAGGGATTCGGCTCAGGAAGACTACCTCTTCTCTGTGAGCTTCCGCCGTTACAACCGATCTCTGCATGCACGCATTGAGCAGTGGAACCACAACTTCAGTTTTGATGCTCATGACCCCTGTGTATTTCACTCATCTACTGTAACAGGGCTTCTAGAACACTACAAAGATCCTAGTTCTTGCATGTTTTTTGAACCATTGCTTACAGTTTCACTAAACAGGACTTTTCCTTTCAGTTTGCAATATATCTGTCGTGCAGTAATCTGCAGGTACACTTCATATGATGGGATTGATTGTCTCCCTTTGCCATCAATGTTGCAGGACTTTCTAAAGGAATATCACTATAAGCAAAAAGTTCGAGTGCGATGGTTGGAACGGGAACCAGTTAAGGCAAAGTGAACAGAATTCACAGTCCCCAGTAAGCTCACTAAAATCTGTACTTTTTGTGTGCGTTACAGTAGAACTGCAACACACACATCAGTGTTTAGTTTGGGGGGTGGGCGATATTGTACTTTTAGCCTATTGTGTTTACGAGTGTGTCAGATGCTGCCTGCAATTAGTCAAGCCTAGTTGTGAATACCTCTTGAAAAATATGCAGAACACAAAATCACATGTTTGTTTTTAAAAGCAGTCTTTTAGGTCACAATTTGCCAATTCCAATATATTATTTCTACTACAGTTCCTGTAGTAATAATGTAAGGCAGCTATTGGGCATTGACTTCAATTTACATTCATTTTCACGATTCAGAACAAAGTAGATTGTTGGCTTTTTCTTTGTTTGGTTTGGATATGAGCACTTGAATGCCAACACTTGTGTTGCAGTAGAGTTCCTTTCTCAGCAAAACAATCACTACCTTTCAAAGTTCAGTTCTTACCTTATTCTAGTTTTCACATTAAGGCTATTTTAAGAAGAAAAATCATGAGCAAAAAGGGAAACTGTGCCATCACCTAGCATTTCTAAAAATCAATCATGTACATTAATGAGCACTTACACACATCTACTCTGTTAGCAAAACTAATTCTAAATAGGGCTGTCTCCCAGTTGAAGACATTTTCGTGAATTAATCATGTGAGAGACGATTAATCCATCAGCAAAATCTGCATACCATTTCATATGACTGAAAGTGTAGCTCGACAAGAAGGAGCATTTTGTATTGATGCCTGTGTCATATCTTAAGAGGCATTCTCTGCTACTGCCCTTCTTAATCTGGTGCCTTCCAGATATGTTAGACTATAGTTGCTGTAATCTCCAGCCAGCCTGGCTGATGCTGGTTGGAGATGACAGAGGCCAGAGCTAACACACTGAGGAAAGCTGCCCTGCTGTATGACGCAGAAGGGGGAATGCCTCTTCTAAGGTGGCATGCGCAACCTATATGCATACTTAAAGTAACTTATATGTTTTTTCAAATCTGTTCAATTGGGTCACCTTCAGTCCATCAAAGGCGTTTGTAATCAATTAATTTCAACCTTGCAGCCCTAGTTTTACAAGCAAGTGTCGGTACATTTGAGTACACACAAATGGTTTCAGTTCCTCATAACTAAGCCAACTACTACAGTTGGGGTACTTGTGAGGCTCTCCTCTGCTCAACCATATGAAACCTGATAGTAATTACTAGAATGCTGCATTAACTCAGCAATTATCCAAGTAATTCACAGACCACTAGTAGTCCATACTTTCTGTATGAAAGAAAGAAAGCTACTTTCTGCTGGTCTGTGGAATGGTTGTGGAACAGTCAAGGATATCTGCACTTAGCTCTGCGCATGATTTATTTTTTTCTGAGGACAGAGATTAAGGTCATTTTAACTAGGGCTGGATTATTAAAAGGCTAACAAGGTCCTGGCTGAGGACCTGTGGTTTGCATATCAGCACTGGTGCAGTCTCCTTATTTTTCCATAAACATTCTCCACTTAAAGGGCTTTTTATTGGCCTTGGCTTATGATACCCCTAATATGATGTGGGATTTGACTTTGCCAGTGCTGAAAGAAAAATGTTATAAAAATGAGTCATGTGCTTTAATTTGTAAAAAAGAAAAAATGCTGGGGGACTCAGATGCTCACTTATTAAACTTTTTTTGTTCAAGCGCTCTACAAAAAAAGTTAATTGCTTTATTAACTGATTTTTAATGGTTCAAACAGTACAGTATTTTAACCATCTGCTCAAAATAGTAATGGCCACCTAGCTTAGTTATCACTTCAAGCTGATCTCAAACAGTTAATGTTCTGTCCCACTTCTCTTTCCCTGTTCCCCTTCCCTACTCAGTGCATCAGAAGTAAACTTTCTGGCTTTATAGGTACTGTTGTATTTGTAAACTGTGTAGCACTATGGGTTTTTTTTTTTAGTAACTTGTAGATTGTGTTCCTCCTTGAGCAAAATACTTTTGAAAGCTCACTCTTTTGCTTTCCTTTGTTTTCTTTGTGGACAGAACATAACCTGTTTTGTCCTAGCTGTGTTTGCACTAAAATTTATGTTGGACTACAGAGTCCCTTGTTTTTTTTTTGCTTTTGTATCTCGTACCAATGAGTAGTGCTTCTAGTTTCTTAACCAGTTGCTGCAGTATGTTCTTCTCCATGGCAATGACTGTGAGGTATGGAAACTTCAAAGCTGCATATACAAGAAAAGTTATACTTGTATGCCAACACTAACCAGTTTATCAATATGTGTGTTTTTCCTCAGCTTGCTGTGCCTTGTTACAGCTTTTTCGTGCTAATAAAGTACAGTATTTTCAGTGTTATACTTGTATATTTGCTCTTTTATATTTGCATAACTTCTATTGTAACAATATTAGGTAAGTTTTGCCATATATTTATAGTATAGTTTGCTTAAATGTGCAGTTTAATAATTTCTTCTTAGAGCACCAGTTCTTGGTATAAACTCATTTTCCTGTAATGCCAAAATACTGATCTTTCCAAGTAATTCAGGCTATCTTAGTCATTCCATATATTTATTTCATTTTTATGTAGGCATATTCTGTGTAGGTCAATGTGGGTTGTCCATGCAATATACTCAACAGAACTAGAACAAATCACAACTCCCTGATTATTAGGCCTGTAATAGGGACTGTATATTATATCTACACTTCACTTTTTTAGGTCTGTACTTACACATATATCTAATACACTCCAAATACCTCTAAATTATACAATGTAAATTGATGGCTCTCAGTAGTAACTGCAGAACTGCAGAATACCTGTAGCTACACAAAAATGAGCACGTGTCAGTTTGAGTGGCTACTTCTAAAATGGCAAATTATGTACTTAGCCCTTAGAATACCCAAAATATTCTGGGTAATAAATATTTTTAAAAGCATATATAGATCACCCCATGTACACCCAGATAGTTACACTCATGGCTGTGCACACATACTTTATTAAAATATGTTGCACAAGATGTCTCCTTCAAAGACAGTTTAATGCCTTTGAATTAATGTATCTGAATAATTTTAACTTTGGTTTATTTGGGAAAGTTTTCTAGAAAGACTTGCTTAATGTGAGCCTAAGAACAGGTGGCATTGTTGGATGAAATTGCTTACTTGCCATGTATGACAGTGGAGAAGTGTGTTGCTTATACTGGCCTTCTCTAATTTGTTGGCTGTTGTGTTAGACTATAACCTCCATCAGCCGACATGACCAGTGGCTGGTTGGATTATGAGAAATGTAGTCATACACCTCTGGAGGTCACCAGATTGGGGAAGGGTAGCTTGTATCTTTCATCTTAATCAGGAATAATATTTTGTTAAACTCACTAACAAAGGGAAATCTATTGGATCATTGATTTTAAAAATGAACTTGAATATATGGTTTCAGCCAAATGGTTACCCAGTTTCATGGGAGTAAGCTCATTGAATTCAGTGGGTCTTAGTGTGAATGGATATGTACAGGATGACTGTGTTCATATTTCATTGCAAATTGCATTAAGGACCAGTGTTAAAATACTTCGCTGACACATTATTTTATTATTGATTTAGATGTTAACCATTTTCTAATGTATATAATGCTCCTAAATCTTGGCACTGGTTCAGATATTAGGATATTGCTCCTGCTATGGTGGAAGCATGGGCATATGCCTGTCCTTTTGCACACAATTTATGTGAAGCAATGGAGGTCTGTACAAATGGTATCCTGATTTCTGTGATTCTTTCCTCTTGACCTGGGGCAGTGTTAGGGTTAGAGATAGGGATATGTGCATCAAACAAATGCATGGATGGTGCTTTTGTACAGACAGCCTGCTGTGCCCTGTGTGTTTGGGAGGCGTGTGTGCCTCTCTCCAAGGGACTAACTCTATCATAGGAGTGGACATCTGAGAGGAATGGGAGTTTTTCCTCCTATACCACACGATTCTGCTTTGGAGGGTCCCCCAACCTTCTGGAACAGATTTGGGATGGTGAAATTCAATCTTCCATCTATTTCCTCTACACTCAAGTAAGAGCACTATTGATGCAACTCAAAGATTGCCAAGTTGTAAGTGGCTAAACCTGGCCAGAGGGGTTTTTGTTTCTAAACCAAAGACCTTGAAGGGACATGTCTGTTACATAAAGCTTGTAATCCAAGCAACAACCACTAAACAGAAGTGTCTTAAACATAACCTGCTTGAATATATAATGTAGTTTCACAGAACTTGAAAATGAAGATAATTTAGCAGCATCTCTTCATTGCTTTTTGAATGCAATATAGCTTCAACATACAGAATTGTGCAGTATTACTACTCATGACCAAAAGACAGCTATACATTTGAAAGCTATGAAAAGAACTTCCCTTACATTCCTGGAGAGCACCTTAAAATATTACTTGGAAAACTCATTACACTTGAGCTCGGGGATGGGGGCAGGGGAATCACAGTTCTGGGAGCCAGCATAAACACCTGACTTTTACCAGACATTTGGGGCTTTCTTCCCCTTTTCATTGGCATTAACTGTTATCAAATGTTATCAGATTTCCATTTTGGAATTTCTGACTGTTCTGAGAATGTAAGTACTTCTCACTAATGTTAAATACAAGCATGTGATAAATGTTGGGTTTGTGTGTGGGGATGTGTAACTGCATATGCAACCTTTTTATGTTTACATTGCTCTAAAATTAGTTGTTTGCATTAAAAAAATAACCATAATGAAACAGTGCCCAAGTGTACCTTCCCTGTTCATGCTCCATCATTTATGTTGGATTCTATGGTCAGGATTTTAAAAACTCTTATGGATAAGTATTTAGTGTGGAAGTGTATTTAGTGTGAATGGTTTTGGTTTCTCTTTTAAAGAAGTGTGTTGCACTTCATTTGTGTGGGAGCATCTTGCTATTTCACCCACTGAAATGCCTTTCTTTTGCTTTGCATAGTAGTTATCAGTGAGTACAGAAGAAGGAGGGACCAAGGTCTTATATCTGTCCCCTCTTCTGGTTATTTCCCCAACCGGAAGGTTCCTGGCAGCAATATCAACCAGCCCCTGGGCCTGATGGTGCTGCTATTGAACGCCAGGTTAGTCCATAATAAAGCATCCACAATTAAATCATGGATGAGGGGGCCGACCTGGCATGTATCACAGAGACCTGGGCGGGGGAAAGGGGAGATGTTTCCCTCACCCAGCTTTGCCCGCCCCGATACTGGATGCAGCACCGGCCACACCCAGAGGGAAGGGGAGAGGGGTCTCCCTGGTTTTCCGAGACTCAATCTCCCTTACAAGGGACAAGACTTCCTGTCCCTTCAAGGCCAGGCCTAGAGTGTTTGTAGCTGGTGTTGGGCGATCAAGACAGATTAGGGATTCTACTGGTGTACCTTGCACCCTCCTGCCCATCATACTCGCTGACTGAGATTGTCTCAGACCTGGTATTGACCCCAAGGATGCTGGTCGTGGGGGACTTCAATATCCATGCCAAGGCTGTTCTGTCTGGGGCAGCTCAGGACTTCATGTCAGCCATGGGGCTATCTCAACATGTCACCGGCCCAACCCATGAAAGAGGTCACACTCTGGACCTGGTTTTCTCGACGGGGCAGGAAAAGGGTGATCTGGAAGTGAGGAACTTGACCTTAACTCCTTTGTCATGGTCAGATCACTTCCTCATGAGGTTTGAGCTCAGGGCTGATCTCTCCCTCTAGAAGGGTGCGGACCACATTAAGATGGTCCGCCCCTGGAGTCTTATGGATCTAGATGGCTTTCTGAGGGCTCTGCAGGGGTTTTCCGGTAGATAACGCTGGCGCTTCTGTTGATACCCTGGTCGATTTGTAGAATGGAGAAATGACCAGGGCACAGGATAATCAACACAATTGCTCCTAAAGTCTTCTCCCGTCTTAGCAGAGCCCACACAGTACCATGGTATATGCCCGAGTTGTGGGTGATGAAGCAGGCTGGGAGACGATTAGAGTGCAGGTGGAGAAAATCACAGGATGAATCTGACCGAACACACTTATGTGCTCATTATCCAGCCTATGCTGCAGTGGTGAGGGCGGCAAAGAGGCAATTCTTTTCTGCTTCCATTGCCTCCTCACAGTGCCGTCCAGTGGAGCTTTTTTGAGTAGTGTGTGGCCTTACAGATGCTGGCCAAAATAAAGATGTTGTGATGACTTTGCCCAGCACTTCAGGAGAAAATTGCTCAGATTCGCCATGAGCTGGACTCCACAATTGACTTGATTCCAGAATGGGAGGTGTCCAGAGCGATGTCTAGTCCATCATGGTTGGATGAGTTTCAGTTATTACGGCCTGAGGAAGTGGACAAGATGCTTGGGCTGGTATGCCCAACCACCTGTTTACTCGACCCTTGCCCTTCCTGGCTACTTAAGAAAGCCAGCCACGGGATTGGTCCCTGGGTCCAGGAGGTTATCAACACCTCTCTGAAGGAGGGCCGGGTCCCTACCCCTTTAAAGGAGGTTGTGCTCAGGCCTGTCCTGAAGAAGGCATCCTGGAACCCAGAGGAGGCCTCCAATTATAGACCAGTGGCCAACATTCTGTTTTTTGGGCAAGGTGTTGGAGTGGGTGGTGGCAGGACAACTCCTGGCACTCTTGGATGAAACAGATTATCTGGACCCATTTCAGTCTGGTTTCAGACCGTGTTAACGGTACTGAATCTGCCTTGGTCGCCCTGTATGATGACCTGTGCAGGGAGAGGGACAGGGGGAGTGTGTCCCTGTTGGTCCTCCTGGACCTCTCAGTGGCTTTCAGTACCATCGACCATGGTATCCTTCTGGATAGGCTGGGAGTTGGAGGCTCTGCATGGCAGTGGTTCTGCTCCTATCTGGCTAGTCAATTCCAGAAGGTGGTACTGGGGGACTATAGCTCTGCACCATGGCAGCTTTGCCATGGAGTACCACAGGGCTCTATTTTGTCCCCCATCGTTTTCAACATCTTCATGAAACTGCTGGGAGAGGTCATCAGGAGGTCTGGGCTGCGGACTCATCAGTATGCTGACGACACTCAGCTGTACCTCTCATTTATTTCTAATCCGGGTGAGGCAGTGGCTGTCCTGAACCAGTGCCTGGCTGAGGTAATGGGCTGGATGAGGGCCAACAAACTGAGACTTAATCCAGATAAGACAGAGGTCCTTTTGGTGGGTGGTTCGGGCTTTCAGGTAAGTGATTTTGGTCCTGTCCTGGACAGGGTTGCACTTCTTCCAAAGGAGAGGGTCTGCAGCCTAGGAGTGCTCCTTGACGTGGAGCTGTCCGACAGCAGTGGCAAGGAGTGCCTTCCTTCGGCTTCAGCTGATCCAACCTCTGTGTCCTTACCTGGATGAGCACTGTCTAGCAACAGTGACACATGCGCTGGTAACTTCCCAATTGGATTATTGTAATACACTCTACGTGGGGCTGCCCTTGAAAACGGTCTGGATACTTCAATTGGTACAAAATAGAGCTGCCAGGTTGCTGATGGGGACCGGTCATTATTCTCATGTAACGCCAGTCCTCTACCAGTTTCACTGGCTCCCTGTTGAAGTCCGGACCCAATTCAAGGTGCTGGTACTAACCTATAAAGCCCTAAATGGCTTGGGACCATACCTGAAGAAGCGTCTCCTCCTCTGTATGCCTTCATGCCCTTTTAGATCGGCAGGGGAGGCCTTGCTCTGGGAACTCTACTTGAAGGAGGTACAGAGGGTGTCTACCCAGAGGAGGGCCTTCTCTGCGGTGGTGCCCAGACTATGGAATACGCTCCCCAGAGAGGCCCACCTGGCACTGACTCTATCTGGTGCCAGGTGAAGACCTTTTTATTTGACCACCATTTTAAAAATTAATATCAATAATTTTAATAATTTTATACAGTTGCATTTTCTTCTTTCTTTTCCTTCTTTTTTTCTTTCGTTATGAATTGCTGTTTATGCTATATTATTATTGAATGTTTAATTGTATTTTATATCACTATTTATATCTTTTGTAGGCCGTCCTGAGGCTTGTTGCAAAGGACGGCATAGAGATGTTTTAATTAAATTTAAATTAAATTAAAAATTATCAAAACTGAGGAGGGTCCCTGATGGTGGGAGTCTGACAATCCAGGGGGGGAGAGAGGATCTTGCAGTCTGCAGAGGCAATAACACATTCCTCCAATGTGTTTCAGCATATTCACTGCCAAAACTGCTATGCGAGTGGCAGAAACTGCAAAGAGGCAGGGAATATATGCAAGCTGTTGGTCTCAGCAGCTGTCTTCCCTTCCTCACAGGCTGGCTCGTTTTAAGAGAGTCTGAGGGGCTCTGATTAATTCTCTTCTAATCAATTAATACCTATCCAAAGTTTCCTTTTTACTTTGCTTAAAATCATGTATGTTTCAGGGCCCCAAGGCAACCTGCCATCAATTAAAAAACAAATCAGTTATAGTATATATAAAACCGTAAATATAAAATTAGAAAGGCAAAACAGCCAAAATCAACTAAAGATGCAGTTCTGTGTCTGGTGGATGCTGTCTGGGCAGCCACAGGAAAAATCAATCCCCATGGCAAGCTCTTCAAAGCTGCAATGGGGCCTCCATCTTTGGAGGGTTGCTTCATCTGCCCTCTGCTGAGACCATTCTGGCCCAGGGAGGAGAATGAGGCTGTGCTGTTCTAGGAAAAATCCGGGCCTCAGCCCCTCCATCTCATGAATGGATGGGCAAAATCAGCTGTCTAAATTTTTTGGAGGACAAAAGGAGCACAGAGTCCCAGCCTTCATGCTCCCCCCATGCTTGACTGGATGCCCATAACCTGGGTTTGGAGGGCTGCAGTCAGCTGCAAAGGAAGTTATCCTAATAAACATCAGTCATTTTTTCCCAAATTTATCAAGGCCAGGCTGGGTAGATCGATCTTTAATAAGTACCAAAGTATCAATAATGTGGACACTTGACAACTACGGCTGGAAGGAGCATTCTTAGGAATACAATAGCAGGTTTGCAAAGATTTCATGCACTTGCTTGTGAGGCGCATGCTCAAAATTACAGTTGTAGAAGGGAGCATGAGTTTGAAGTTTGAAAAACACTAACTTAGTCATAAGCTTGCTGTTTACAAATGCAGTTACTTTTTTTAACTTTATGGTGCTGCACTCTAAAACTTAAATAAGATGTTGCATTGATGCTATGCTTAGAAGACTGCCTACCTTGACAAAAGGAATTTAAACTGAGGTTATTTCTGTACATGTAGCTTTGAGCTTCATTTTGGTCATCTCTGTACACTTATTTTCCCTACAAGTAGCTTAATATTTTCTTTAGTCTTAAAACAGAACATGCCTCACTGTGTTAATCAGGGAAGAGAGGCATTAATGTAACCTTAGAGTTTGTGATGCTTTTTTCCCTCTAGTAACTTATGGAAGAGCAGCTTATTTTTGCTTGCATTTTTGGCAGGAGGTTTCTTCACTATTTGTCATGTCACAAAGAGGTGGAAACACATGTGACCTGTCCCACTGAGGAGGTTTAGGCACTCTATAAAACAGGCTGACCCACTTAACTGTGCAGATATTGTTTAAAGATCAATTTGCGGCTAATGTGGCTTGTCTCTGGATTCCTTTTGAGGAAAGGACACAATATGCATTTTAATGTAGATCTTCTTCAACTTTGTGCGTGCAGGTAATTGAGCTCAGTCCCCCAAAGATCCATTGAGCTATTTATTGCTGAAAAAGTCTAGGAGTCTTGCCTGTACGGTTTTGTTGCCCTGATGTGGTGGCATGTAGTGGATTTTTT